CCACGTCACAGCGGAGAGCCGTTAACCAATATGCAAATTATCCTGCAGTACCACTGCTCCACCCATTTGAGCAGCAAAAAGATTGTTTTTAGACCAAATGTTACAGATTTGGACAAATACGCACAAAAACATCTAAATTAGCACAGAAACAGTACTGTATAACATTTTAGACACATTCTAGACAGTTTATCTGCTAAAAAAAAGTTAATTTTGGGGTAAGTTGCTCTTTAAGGGCTTGATTTTGCTTCATAATCAGTGGCAGCTGGCCCATAGGGTTGCATGGGATCGAGGGGGCAACTCTGGACAGAACTAGCCTTCCTGAGGTRTTTCCTCTCAGCTGGTGATAGGCTGCTGCTCCAGCAGACTGCACCTGATGCCCCAACTGTGCCAAAGCAGGTCAAGGATCACTTTTTGATCAAGTTTTGATAAAGTCTGATCAGTGACTCTTGACACATTTTGCTAACATTACAAACATATGCACACACAAGACACGCGCACACACTGAGACGGTGGGCAAAAAACATTATTGCTCTACCTTTGCGGTTTGGCAGCAGGTGATAAATAGTGATGACAATTAGCTGTTGAATCTGGCAATCAAATCCAGTACTGACCTGTTTCAATTCAGCCATTTTAAGTGTAAAAATTTCAGCACAATTCATAAAACTTTTAACCACTTTTGTTCTTTAAAAATGACTGGGTTAGTGTTATCAGCAAAGTGAAATATCACTAAACTAGACATAATTCACTGGTTTCTTCCTTTTTGCCAATCAGAAGAAAATCGTTATTAGGCACATGGCATGTGCTGATAAAAGCCTATTGGTGTAACATCGTGACATCAATTAACATGTTCACCAAAAAGGTAAGAATCTACTTGTAGAATAGATCATTTGTATTTGATGAGAAATGAATTCAGGTCATCACTGACAGGCGTCTGTGTTTGCTTTTAAACAAGCGGCCCGCTTCATTTCTCACGGTGTTAAAACCGTGAGATGCTTTAACAGGATAACTTCGGTGACTGAGTTTAGTCTGTTCCAAGTTTTCAGACTCACCATCTGTTCTCAGTGTAAATGATCTATGGTACAGGTGTCCAAATCCCKGTCTTTGAGGGTCGCTATCCTGCATGTTTTACATGTTTCCTTGCTCCAACACACCTGAATTGGATGAACGGATGATTAACAGGCTTGTACATAATTTGAAGAGGTATTTCAATCACTTAATCAAGCGTTGAAACCAGGAAACGTGTAAAATATGCAGGATAGCGGACCTTGAGAGTTTGACACCTGTGATCTATGGGAAAACTAAGCTGCATTCTTGATTATTACTTTATAAACAGTAAATTTATGAATAACAGAAGCAGTGACTGAAGTCAAACTGCAAACGACTCTGGTTTTTACAGTAAAATTGTGAATTCCAGTCAAAGAAGGCGCGTTTCCATCCTGTTTAGGGCATTCTGATGCAGTTGCTGAGAGGACACTGATCTCTTTCCCCTTCCCTATTTTTGGGAGGCGGCTCCAGTTTAAGGAGGACACTTGAGCTCCACATAAACATGGACTCAGCAGGGCTCACGGAGAGCCTCAGCTGTTGCTGGTTAATCATYGCGAGGCCGTGTTGCTCCCTACAAATGTCAATCCGTCCGTGCAGGAAGGAGGGGGGGGATCCCAGCCGAAGCTCCTCACTAGAGCCTGCAGGATGCACCCCCGGGCCTGTTCTCTGCTGGAACACTGAAACCACTGAGGGAGCTGAGGCTGTAAAGCTGCAGACCAACAGGCTGGAGCTCCCTGCTGCTGTGAGAACCTTGACAGACGCCGGTTCTCTGAACGTCACACCCATTGAGACGAAATCACGACTCCCGCCGTGGATTCTGCCACTGTGTGGACCACCCTAAGCACCAGGAGGTCCAGACTGACGGACCCACATTCAGCTCAGGTGATCCCTGGTCATGCCGCTCGTGGAACCCTGAATCTGCACGCGCCCGYGTCACGCTCTGCCCATCTGTGGGTGGGTTTGCTTCTCATCACTCACCTGGATTCGGATATTTTTTGGAGTTTGTGTAGCCTTGCTGTGCTGAAGCAGCCCGGGGGTTTTGGTTTAGCCCAACAGCCTCCTAATAATTGCCCCCACTGAGGGTTTCAGAGTCGGATCCTCTCGTGGAGCCGCGGTGTCCTCATCAGCAGAGAGGAGCAGGTCCCCAGCCCGCTCCGTACCGCCAGGGGGGAGGGGGGGGGGTCGCCTCTCGTCCTCTTCCTGTCTTCCTTGGGGCCCTTTTCTCCACAGATCCTCCCCCTGTGTGACAAATGGGCTGTCGGTTACAGGGGAGGGGGGGAGCGGGGGGCTAGTATTTTAAGACTTTATAGAGATGGATCCTCCATCCGCGCGGCGTGGCGCGGCTCTCCCTGCGCGCCGTGAATCAGCCTCTTCCTCGCGCAGGAAACCTCTGCTGTTCAGGCCACTGCTGTTCCCAGCTCGCGTGCACACGCACACACAAAATAAAATAAAATAAAAACAACGCAATAAAAATACAAAAAAATCCAATCAAACGCCGCTCCTGGTCTGATGCGCCAGTTGCTGCACGGAGCGTCTCCTGCAGCCTCCTCAGACCGCAGGGGGATGATGGGTCTATCCTCAGCTTCCTGATCAACGTCCCCCCCACCCACCGCACGCCTGAAAGGTGTAAAATGGTTGCGCCTCCTCCGGCAGCCTCCCCCCCTTCCAACAATCACTCCTGGTTTCGTCAGGCGCGCGGCTACGTCACCATCAGCTGAGAGAAGCTGCAACCCGAGTCTGAGAGGGAGGGGCTGCGAGGACTGTTTTATTATAACACAGCTACACTTCATACTAAATAAAGCCTCAGAGCATCACTTCATGACTCTTCACTGTCAAAACTTGCTGCTGAATTTTAACAAATAACGCTGCAGCTAAGACTCTCGTTTTAATAATTGGCTTAAATGACTTAAATTCAACAAATAAATTATTGCAACTCAATGCGAGGTCATGCAAATCACTCCAAAAACATTTTTATCAAGTGAGAAACAAAATCAACACAGTATTTTTCATATTGATTGTTAATCTGAACAAAGTTTGTGCCCAGAACTAACACAGTTGTTTTATTTATCTACAGGTGAATTAATTTAAAACATGTGAACTCTGGCAATGTCCATAAAATGTCATGGCTCAGAGGTAGGGGTGTAAGAAAATATCGATACACTGAAATATCGCGATATTTCATTTCCTGATACTGTTTCAATATTCTAAGGCCCTGTATCGATTTTTTTTATTAATGTTTAAAATGTCAACTTTCCTGCCAGCCATTCGTTTTTATGTTGTAGTTCAGCCTCTGACAG